TCTCTCTCTCTCTTTCTCTCTCTCTGTCTCTCTCTCATGTTTCTAAGGGTTGGAGTTACTGAGAGAACATATATCTAATGCCTAAGTTATTTGATTGCCACAAAGTGGGCACTTTACAGATTTTCATTCTAGTCCAACCGGATAATCTCCGCAGCTCCCCCAACCTGCCCTTTCTTTAGCCATTCATTTCTGATTCCTCTAAAGTCACTGAAAATAAAAAGATCGGTTAAAATTCTAGCATAGAGGATTCTATAGAGAGCAGATGAAAAGTCAGGCAAGTGGACTTTCCACATTCTTATATGTGATTTTACGTCCCAGGCACTCTCCTTCCTGTCTTGGTGATGACAATTAAGCATGAATGCTGGTTTTGAAAGCAACCGCTGCGGGTGGCTACCTGTGTATTCCAACTCCAGGCCTCATTCACTTTGGGCCACATTTAAAGGAATGGCTGTCAGTGCCAAAGGCATTTAGTGCCACTTTATTCCTAGGGCTTTAAATCTCCCTATTACAGGAACGATGTTTTTATTTTTCACATGTCTAGTGCAAAAGTGATTGCTCTCCTAGACCTCCAAAGTTAGATTTACTGATTCAAGCTTGCAGCTTCCTCTGTTAAGGAATTTGTGATGAGTTTTTCAGAACTGAGCCCGCTCACTCATCCAGAATGACTGCCCAGCCAAAGCATTCTTCCCTGACCATCTACCAGGGTATCCTCGACTCTCCAGCCCTAAACACAGGCTCCTGCCTTACCAGATAGGGTTTGAGTGTGCCTTCTACTCCTGTTTCCCTTTTTCATTTGCCAGTCCTCACACATCCAACTTCCCATCATTCGCTTCCCGGTAGTCTGAAGTCTGGATTTTATGCAAGATAGACTTGCTTAATGATATCTCTGTAAGGTAAGAGAAGGGTGGAGGCAGGTCTTGAGCTAGATGGGAAGACAGCTGGGGCAGGAGACCACAAACAAAGACCTGCAAGTCCTGCCATCCCTACCTAGGTAATAAAAACCATTCCAAATGGCCCAGTAGCACAACCACTTCTGACTACTCACCACTGGGTCAGAACATTAAGGGCAGAGCAACACACACAGCCACCTCCCGCTCAGCCCCAGACAAAACAATGTAGGGTTAGTCACTAGTGAACGACCCCCAAGAGGAAGACACCTGTTACTGGGAACAAAAGAGCATCTCTTTCCATACCGAGATGCTGCACCACCGATATCAACCCTGGAGCAGATGGGCTCTGATTTACTAAGGGACCTATTTACCACGCAAACAGGACTCCTGGTGGTGCCCGTGGTATCTCAGCTTCTTGGGAACACAAACTCTTCTTCTGAATGTCACTCAAAAAGCCACTCTTAGTCACAGTTCCACAGCTAAATAAGAAAAACAGCCAGATTAACAGCTTTATTCCTCATCTCAGCTCTGGAAGACTCTTAACCATTTCCAGATAGCATATCCATTCCTCAACAAACAAAAAAAAGGCCACCACCAAGATTTGTGGTAGCCCAAATGTCCCTAAAAGTGATTTCCAAGACAATTTGACCAATGATGGTATCACTGGAACCATGATCGTGCAAGGGGTTCACATCAAAGTAGCTCTCTCCCTCCGTGTATAAGTTCTGGGGTGATTCTGATGCTGTATGAGCTAATGAGTGTCTCTCAGGCACTACACCTGATGCAAGTGTTCTAAAGTGCACATATGACACAGCTCCTATCTCAGGAGCTTCCTATTCTGGAAGCATCTGCTATCACAGAGCCAGGATGCTAGTGAAAAAAAACATACAGACCTAAATTAAGATTCTGTCTCCACCACTGTAAACTTGGGGAATTCCCTTCTCCCAGCCTTCAGTCATTTCATCTAAGAAAATGGAGATATCAGTATCCACCTGTTCAAAATAACTGCAAAGAATATCAGTCACCCAAGAATTAGGAAGCAAGGCTTTTTTGAAATCCAACTACATGCTGCTTATTGGGTTTAGTGCTCTACTAGGAAACAGACATTTTATTTTAAATTGCAGTCCAAAGTCTGGCACACAGTACGTGGTCAAAGTTGCTAGCTTTTCCTTCTTCTGTAAAGCTTCCCCACTTGTGTGTCTGGAACCTTTCCGTGTCTGACCCTACTTCCCCGCTTCCTTCCTCTGTGACTCCCATGCAGCCATCCTACCTTCCAGGGTGTTATTTCAAAGGAAACATCCCATAAAAATTAGCCATGTCCACACCTGTGAATTAATCCTTATCTGTAACAGGCCAGCCTCAGGCCACCGCCAGCTCCGTATCATCCTTCTCCCAGCCTCTCTGTCCTCACCTGCTCTGAGAGGCTGTTCAATGAATTGTGCTTTTGCATCTCCTAGGCCCCGCTCCAGCCCAGGATCAGCTCTCAGCTCCAAGTGGAGAGCAGTGCCCACTGGATGGCAATGGTAAGGACTTCCAGCAGGACCACGGTCTTTCCCTAAAGGCAGAGAAGGGCCTCTTACAGGGAATGGGAGAAGGAGGCCCTAAATCTTGAGCCCTGAATCTCCGGAATCAATCTGGAGAAGGGAGATGATGATTTCTGGGGAAAGTCTAAGAAGCAACTGCTGGAGAGCTGGTGATGGGGAAGGCGGGTAGGAAAGGAGCCAGGACTCCAGGAGAGAAGGTAGGGAGGGTTTGCATCAAGAGTTGGCAAACTATGGTCCACGAGGCAGACCACTGCCTATTTTCATAAACAGTTTTATTGGAACACCATCACACTCATTTGTTTATGTATTGTGTCACTACTGTCTCACTCTAGAGTTGAATTGTTATGAGAGGGTACAGCCCACAAAGTTTAAAATATTTTTTATCTTTCTCATAGAAGAAGTTTGCCAGTCTCTTGTTTAAGCGTCAGGGAAGCTGCTAAAATCTGCTAAGAAAGCCAGGCATCTCCTACCAAGATGAACGTTCCCACATTAATAAGAGGTCGCCACTGCTAGTTATCACCATGACAGAGCCTCTCATTGGCTTCCCAGTGTAAGTGTCTTCAGGACACTTGCAGCTTGGGGTGGAAAAGGTGGGCAACTTCTTCATTCTTCTCTTCTTCCAGTATATCCCCAGGAAGAGAAAGAAGAAGATATTATCTACTCTGTGGTACAGCCAATGCCAAAAAGGAACAAGGGTGAGTGATCTCAGCCCAAACCTGACATCTTTGCTAAGGGGAGGCCCTGGGGCTTGGGTAGGAGTATCATTACCATTACCATAATTATCACCACCTCAGGCAAACACTGCTGCTATCACCAGTCCCACCATATGTACCACCGCCATTATGACCATCATCTCCTCATTCACTACCATCATTATCAATACCGTCACCACCGTCACCATGAACCCATGACCATCACCACCACCTTAGCCATCACTACTGCTACCATGACCACTGCCAATCATTCTTTGTTACCACCACACCACTACTGTCACCACCCCCATGGCCACCACCCTCACACCATCATGGCGACCGCTACTCCTCCTTCAGTACCACAGTCACCACAAACACTGCTGTGACCACCATAATCACCATTTCAGTATCATCTCTGCCACCACTGTTATCCTGATAACTGCAGGGAATTTTTGCCCTTTGCTGGCCACTGCGGAGAAACAAAGAAAGAGAGAAAAGAGTGATACAATTTGCTATCACCTCAGAGCCTAAAATGAGACAGGATAGCCCCAGCTAGAAGAGGGACTCAAAAAGCCTGAGAATTCTAGCTGCAGTTAGCAGCATTAGATAACAGACATGGGGGAAAGGCTACTACTCCTGTCTCTAACAGGCAGTGTGACATTGTGGGAAGTGTGGCTTTCTGAGTCAGGCAGAGCTGAGTTCCAACCCTGACTCTCTATGTTTATCCACCGTGTGACTTGGCCAATCATGGAACCTCTATGACTCTAGCCTATAAAATGGGCACAATGTCTACTTTGCCAGACTACTGTAAGTTGTCGGGAACAGAACCTGGGTTCTCAGAGAACATTTTAAAGATCATTTAGCATGTAATAAAGGTTCAAAGACAGGAGCATTCCTTAAGGACTTACCTGCTTTGAGATTTCTATACCTGATCTATCAAAATGGTTTGGATCGGTCTGGGGTCTCTGCCCCTCCCCAAAGGGCACAAGGGGTGATAAATAGCCCAAGTCTCTTGACTTGGGTGGTGTTTCCCAAAGCATTGCCAGGGCAAATGCAAAGCAAACACAGCTCCTCTCTGTGAAGAGTTACAGTGAGGACCTAAACCTCAGACAGAAACAGCAGCAACAAAACCCTCCAGATATGTGATTTACATTGGCAAAATAAGGACAGTCTGTCCATTTCAATCCTACTAGGGTAACAAAGGTGAAGACAGGACTTGAGGGTGGGGGTGGAGATAGTTGTCTGCTTCCAATCCACGCCTGCTCTAAGCAGGCCTTCCTGATGTGTGGCTGAAGGGACTGAAACTCAAAATAAAGAGAAGCCTTTATGTTCCAGGATGATTAGGAGAAAAGATACAGGGCCATTGGGAGAATGTTTCATAGTTTGTGAAGATTCCGAGTTAACCTACAGTTTCTACTTCTTATGGAAGTGACAGTAGATTTTTCACCCTAATATTTTTTTAAAAAAGGAATTAAAACATCCAGACTTTACCGGGTTGGCATAAGATTAGATACAGGGGTGATCCAAAAATAATGTCTTTTACTATAGTAATTGTTTTAAAATTTAAACACATGCCATGTTGTTCTATCACACTTTGAATAATAAATATAACCCTTACACCTAAACGGTTGTCTGGTACACAGTAACGGTCCAATGAAGCAAGTATTTTAACAACTGTTTTTTACATTTTCACCTCTCTGGAATCTCACTATAATCTGTGTGAGGAAGTTATTACTACTACCCTTTCTTTTTAGCTGAGAGAGCTGGGACTCAGGGGCCTGGGTCAGGGGCTTGGTGATGGTTGAACTGGGGCTAGAACCCGGGTCTCTGGATTCCAGATTCTGTTTCCAGGTTGTGTAGAGTGGAAAGGAAGGTTCCCTGCAGGGACTGTGCTCTCTAGGAAAAAGGAGATGGCAGGGGGGAGGTGGGGAGGAGATGCGCTGGTGAACACAGATACCCTAACCTGAGTGCTTTTCTGTCCCCTACAGTTAGACCTGCTGAGTTCACCTCCAAGGAAAAGGTGAGGAGGGGGCCAGACACTTTTCCCACCCTCCATCTCACATCTGCTTCCACATTCTCACCTAACTCTCCCACAGGACGTTTCTGTCGTCTATGCAGAGGTGAGATGCCCACAGTCAGCTAGATTTCCTCCAAGGACTTGAGTCTAAGAAGCAAGGCCTCCCAAGATCCTCTCGGTGACTGCAAGGACGCTCTCTACTAGCGATGGTGTCTCCCTCCAACACCCACCCATCCCCCGCCTCCAGTGCTCCCCAAGCGGCCAGGAACCCCACATGCTCCTAAGTTTCACCAGTGACCCTGAACACAGCCATAAACGCCTTCTTTTCACACAAGTGGAAATGTTAGTATCTCTTTCTCTGCAGATGCATAAATGAAGAAAGACAGAGACAAAGACAGAGACAGAAACAGAGAGAAAGTGAGTGGGTGCTTGGCCTGACCCTGAAAAGAAAGAAAGAGCACCAGCTCCCATCTCAGAGGGCTGGCCCTAGAACAGGCAGCTCTGTAATGAATTTCCAACTTCTAAGATGCTACTGGGGGCCAGGGATGTAGCTCAATGGCGCAGCGCCTGCCTGGCAAGTGCAAGGCCCTGAGTTCGATTCCTGGTACCAAAAAAAAAAGATGCTGCTGAGGCCCACAAGTGACTCTCAGAGGGCCTCTTGGAGGTTCAGCAAGAACAAGGTCAGGCAGGAAAAGTTCCGGCCCAGATAATATCATGGAACCTTTGAGAGTGAAGTGCGAGCCCTGCCGACACCAACTCTGCCTCCACACACGGGCCTGTTTCTGTCCCCACCCCTTCCAGTGTACCAGAGACAGAACTGGGACTTGCCCTGAGCCCCCATTTGTAGCAGGCACCAGAAAGCTCTGTTACCCCTTGCTTATTTAAAAAGATACAGCAGAGCGATGGATACAACGAAGATATGTTATATGCGTGTTTGCAAACACCACATTGAAACCCAATATTTTGTACAAAATATTTGTAAATTTTAAATTTTGTAAAAAGGCACTAGTTGAAATATATTTTTAAAAAGTAAATATAAGATAAATAAAAAGCTGCATAGCTGCAAAATCTACTTTGTTAATAGAAATGTATCCATTTGTTTTATGTTGTTCTTCAATATCAATCATTCCTTGCACCTGACTATTCAGTTTGGTTTATTCAGGAGTTTGCGCTCCCTGATGCCTGAAGGATGAGTTACACTGGCCTGACCTCATAGGTTCCTGCCCAGGAATCACCATGAAGTCACCCTACAGACAGGGACCGCAGCAGACCCCACCCACTTTGCTTATGAAGTAGGCAACACACACTCTGACAGCTCCGGGCTCCCGTCATGTCTTCCCTGAACAGGCTTGCTGAGGTCATGGGGTGCTTATTAGAAATGCCACCACTTGGACCCGGCCCCAGACTCCCTGGATCAGAATCTGCGTCTCAATAGGACCTGTGGGTGATTTGTATGCACATTAGCATTTTGAAAGGGTTGGTCCACCTAGAAAGTACCTCGTCAAAGTGCACGCACCTGCTCCTCTGAGAGCCTAACTGCCTGTGACTCTGCTCTGGCTGAAGACAGAGATGTGCAAGAGAATTAGTAAGACAACCCATGCTGGGTTTTTTGGTTTTGTTTTTCATTTCTATTCCCTTCTTGTCTTTCTCTTCCCTCACTCCAAGCCCTCCCTATCCCCATCTTCCTCCTCCTCCCGCTTCTCTCTTACCAGTCCGGCCCATGCTCAGAATACACCAGGATGCCCTCCCCCTTGCTGACAATCAGAGACCCCACTGCAAGGACTGAGGAGCACAGACAGATCATCATGTAGCAGTCCAGGGTCCCAAGGACCAGCTGGGTACACAGCAGAACCAAGCCCTTGCCACACCTGCCTCAGAGCAGCAATACACTCACCCCTTATAAAAAGCAGCAACCCAACAAGTCGGCTCACGCAGAAAGACACAGGTGGTGGGGGCTGGGATGGAACCAGCCCTTCTAGCTGACCCACAGACCACAGCCCACCTCCTCTGTGCATGTCACACCTTTCCCCCTTCCTGCCTCTCCACCACTGACACTCACCACTGGCCTGGTGCCAGGCTGTGAATTGCCTTTTACTAGTCCGTGACAAGATAAGTGGGGAAATTGCAGCAAGAATTTAGAAACTTGTATAGCAATCTGGTTTGTTTAATATAACCATCAAAAATTAGGACTTGTATTTTTGTATGTACGTCTTGTTTTATTTTTTTTTTCCTAGTAATTTGCTTTTATTGTATTCTACAAAGGTACAGGTCCACAATGGATTGGAAATAAAGAAGAAAACCAGGTCCTTCAGCAGAGATGGATGAGGAGCCCTCTCCACACTGGCTCACACACACTCCCCATGCTCACACACAGCACAAACACCCCACTGCACCAGCTGCTCAGGCCTTCGCTTTCTCCCCAGAATCCTTCCCCGCCCCCAGCAAGTACAAGTGAAAATGTATTTGCACATTTTCCCTTCCTTCAGAAAAGAATAAGCCCTAATGTTTCACAATGAACCTTTACTAAGAAAATTGAAGAAGAAGAAAAACCCCAAACAGAACATACAGCAGAGCTTTCTGAGGAGACCCAGGCTTTCCCAGCTGCCCTCCCTGGTTTGTGTCCCGACGCTAGGCTCCCCAAGCCCCGTTTCTTGCCGCCTTCTGCTCCTGCAGGACTCGGGGGTGCAGGGACCAAAGGGCCATCTCCCAGGAGAATGGGGCACCCACCATTCTCCAGGCATAGACCCTGTGGACACTGAGGAAGCAACCCCAAGCACTACAGGGCTGCGTGCCACGGGCCCTCATTACACAAGCCACAGGGCTGCCCACCAGCAGCCTCTACTTAGTCTCAGGGCTCTGCTCTGTGACACATTATTTTTCTGTCTAGGTCAGAGCTAAATGCAAACACTTAGCCCTCCAGGGGAGTGGGCTGCACCTTTTCTAGGGACCTGGGAGCTGTAGAGTCACATTAACTAAAGCTCATAATGAAAGAAACGAACTCAGTATCTGGGTGGGAGATGGAGAGGCAGCCTGGAGGAGCCCTTTAAGGGACCGAGAAAGAAGTCTACGTCTGGGCTCATGGGCTCAGGGTTGCCCCCTGGCGGCCCTCTCCGGTAGTTAATTACTTACAGCCTACGCGCTTGTGGTCTGATCTATTCATCGACTTCGTCTCAAGATATGATTGGGCACACTGGCCTTGCTTAGTATGTGGCTATGCAATTTAGATACAAGCTAAAAATAGAACACGGTCCTTCCTTCCCTGAAACAAGAGGGCTGCATGCATTGGGATTTCTTTCAGTCACAGGTGTGTTAGTTTAGATTTGGCTAGGAAATAAAGTCTGCATTGTTATTCAAATAAGCATCCCTTAAACAGCTCTGTGTCGGTCCCCTTTGTGTTAACTTTGAGGACACTGATGTCAGACTGTCTATACAGTATGGGGAGGACCCCACTTTTCATCTGAGGTGGGGATATTGTGTGCACCACCAAATGTTCACATTTCCCTCTACTTTGCAGGAAGCAGCTGCAGCTGGCAGGACCCAGGACTACTGCAAGTCATCTTTAGCAGCAGACATTGCTTGCTGCTCAGAGGAATTCTCTCAGGCTTTGAAAACATAGCTGACGTTCAACTTGTTTCTGGAATTCTTTCCATGTGGGGCACAAATCAATTGTGATTATTCCTTTTATCGTCAGTTCATGGTCACTGTCGTCATTGGCATTGAGTCCCTGACCTCGCGGAGTTTAAACGTGCTCGATGCTCTTTAAATGTTTGTTGGGGGCATTCATGTGCACAAGGTGGGAGCCCCACATAGCGTACATTTGGTGAATGAGTGAATGCATGAAAGAGCTTCCAGTTTCCCCCGCTCTACCTCAATAAAGCACAACTGTGGCTTGGTTTCTTTTTATGCCACTTTTCTTTAAGTCTCTGGGAAGCTGTGTCATTGCCTCAGAAGCAGAGTGAACCCCTCCCACCGCTCTCCCGCAGGTATTCCAGCCCACCCACTCTTCTCTCTCCTCGGGTTCTCCCTCTCCAGCTGCGTGCTAGTTCATGAGAGACGATGCTTCCAGCAGGGCCAGGACAGGGAGGACAGGACAGACGTTTTAGGCAGGAAATTGAGAAAGGAACTGAGGCTGAAGGCGGTGCCAGCACATCTCAGGGGAGGTAAGGCGCATCCGTTTCACACCTGTGGAAACTGAGTGACACCCACCGTTTCTAAAGCATAACAGCAGCAGGCCTCCCTTCGGGGAGATTCTGCGTCAAACCCAGTCTTCCTGATGTTACATAGCTGCCTTAAACTGGTAGCACAGGGAACAAGATGGGACACTTTCCCCAGGGTCTGGGACATGGTAGATCATGCAGATGGGCCTTACTGTGGTGTCAAAAAGTCAAACCTCAGCCAGTGTCGCTGATGATCTGACTGGCGTTTACTAACCATTCGTGGGCACAGCAACTCACCTAAAGGCTCAGCAAAGGTGCTCGCACAAGATGGGCAGGGGAACTGGGCTTCAAGGCAGAAAGGGCTGAAGAAGGTACAGCAACCAAAAGCATAAAGTTACTCTTCTAGTAGGGGTAAAACTGAGGAGACGTCCTTGGGCTCCGGTAAATGGATGCCCTTCTGGCTGTCACTGTGGATTTCTTGGGTTTTCTGGAGGCTACCCTGTTAGGTGGTGCCCGGCAGGACTGACTCCCTTCTCTTCCAGTTGGTTGGGCCTATGCAGGAGGACCTCAGCTCAAAACAACAACCTCCTCTGAATTCCACTGAGGGGCGAGGCTCAGCCTGCTCCCCTCAGCCCCCATCCCACAGATGCCCTCAGAGTGGCACCCAGATGCCTACCCACTTCTCAGAACAGCCTCATCTTCTCCCGTCATCCTTGGTTCCCCAAACTCCTACACAATGTGTCTCTTGCAGACTGTGCGGCAGCTCTGTCTTGGCCTCCTTCTTTCCTGCCTGGCTCCCCTCTCTCCCAACTCTGCAAGCACCCCACCTTCTTTTCCTTCCCCACCTCTCCCTCTGGCCCCTTTCTACCCTCCAGCACAGGACATGGAAGTCACAAATCGGGCACCCTCACCTGAATTCCACCCGGCCTGAACCGCTGCCCCAGTAGCTCAGGGTTAATAGTCGCACTTGGGCAGGCGAGTCGGCCATGGTTAACACCTGTCCCGCCACCTTCCCGCAGCCCACAGTGGAGGTGGGCTAATGGTGGGATGCAGGCTGCTCCGCGTGGAAGATGGAGCTGCTAGCCTGCCACAGCACGCGCAGACTCCGCCCGACTCTGCTCTGGCTTCCCAGAAAGGCCCCAGGGAGGTGGAGTAGCAGCACCGGCTGCCAGCTGCTCTCTTAATTAAGAAATGCGGGGAGTGGCCCCTTTGAACTCACCAGCTAATTTGCTCCAGCGCACTCCCCCCTGTGGCTGGGTAATTAATGTGGTGTGAACCAGTGATTAGCAGTGGTGGGGAGAACCTGCCTGCCAGACTTAACCCTTCGCTGCACCTGGGAAGAGTCATCGCCTGCTCCATCTACTCTGATTTCCCCAGCTGTCACACCACTGGCCCCAGTTTTTCCTTTTGGGGAGGTGGGATACTTTCCAGTCCTCACACAACCTCCTTGTCTGCCCCTCAGCTTCCGCAAAATCCCCCTCTGGGGGAGGGGTTTGGGGTCGGGGTGGAGGGAGTGTTTGGGACCACTCCGGGCAACCAATTCTGCTAAGAGGGACAATGACTGCCTACTGTCACCTCCGAAGGAACTCAGGATCTGGGTGACATGCTGCCTTTACTCCTGCACCCCTCAGCCCTCCCAGTCCCAGGCCTTGACACCCAGAATCACTCCAGCTACTTGGACCACTGGTGCTTGGAGGGTGGGATGGGTCTCCATCCTCTGGCTCCCCGGGCACCTTGGGCACACTCCTGGTATTGTTCTTGCCACATCGGTTGTAATTATTGGGTTTCTCATTCCCTCTCCTCCTCCAAACTTCCAACTCCTTAAGGGTAGGGGCTGAGCCTTTCATCTCTGTGTCCCCAGTACCTGGCACCTAAGTAGATGCTCAATAAATGCCTGATGAATGGATGACAGAATTGACAATAGAGTCATAAATTATTCCCCTCCCTTGCCCTTTCAATGCTACAGCAGAGGCAGCTCCACGTGATGCCAGGACTCCTGCTCTGTCCTTTTCTTCAAACTCCAGATATTTCCTTCCTAGCTCAGGCCCCATCAAGCTATTCCCCAGGCTTCTACCTTCTCTTCCTCTCTCTTCCGGTCCTGCACTGTTCTCACACCAGAGGGAAGTTGTCCCCAGCTCAAGATGGGCAGGCCTCCTGCCTCCAAGCAGCGCTCCTTGGAGTGTTCCCTGGGCACACTAACTGAGCAGCAAAGTGTTAGTGAGAACTCAATTCCTAGGCTCACCCTATCTACAGCATTCCTGAGAACCCATGTATGTGACAAGGCTGAGCCCTGCTCTCCAGTTTAATGTAACCCAGGATTTATGCATAAAGTCTGCGTAATCACATCCCAGTTTTCCCACCCATTCTTTCCACTTAAGCCCTAAAGATTTCCTCCCTGTTGTCCCTCCTTGTTCCTGGAACCTACACCAGACTCTCCCTGCTGTGGGAGTTCTGAAAACTCCCCTCTGCCCTCATTCCCAGGACCTACCCACAACCTTGGCCTTCTTCTTTTTCTCTTCCCATCCTCAGGATGTAGCTTAAATTCCACCCCCAGCTCAGCTCCACAGGGACCTTTCCCCAGTCCTTCCCAAGGCGGTGACTACCTGTGTGGCCCATTGGTGCAGAGTGGGCCTGTATATGGTGGATCTTCACCCTCCCTGGCACGTCTGTCTCTACATTTCAGTTGGGAGTACATGGAGCCGGGAACTCCATCCCACATCGTATCTGCCTAGTTCCTGCTTCAATCCAAAGTATGATCCAGAGCCAGGCATGGTGGCACAGGCCTGTGATCCCAGCACTCAGGAGGCTGAGGCAGGAAGATCATTGTGAGTTCAAGGCCAGCCTGGGCTACAAAGTGAGCTCAAGGCCAGCCTGAACTGCACAGTGAGACCCTGTCTCAAAGAAACAAAAAACAAAGTATGATCCAATTTGAGTGACAGGGCAGAGGCCACACAGGAGCAGACAGCGAGCCACCCTGGGACAATCAGGAATATTCCTCAGGGACAACATCTTGAAAAGCCTTCCTGACATAAGAAACCAAGTAACCACAAGCAAGAAGAGAAACAGGGCAACTGCACCTGACCTCACTCAGCCTTTGAATTTCTGCGCCTTACTGAAGGTTGCAAGAAGATCCTTCCTATGAAGAGTGCCAGTCTGACACAAAGCAAGCTGAGTAACCTTGTCTAGAATTCATTCACTTCACAGATATTCAGGAACTATCTCTAAGGTACTGAGCCCTCAGATAAAGACAAGACCTTGCAAGCTGCACAGGGTGTGTAAACCAGGAAACTGGTGCCAGCTGCACGCTGGTGGAGATGAGGGAAAGATGGACACGCACATGGGCACAGATTTGGGTGTTTTCACTCTAGCTGTCATCAGCCCATGGTTGGGAAGCCACCCCAAAGGCTGGCCTGGGGCATCACATTGCTGTTCCCAGTCTGTAAGAACAACCGGGACAGCATGCCTGCTAGTGGAAGAAGCACCATGAGTGTAAGTGTAAAATGGGTGGTTCTGGAAAGAGCAGTTCTGGCCAGGATGTCAGAGAGCTGAGTGGACGCTAGGAGCCAGGGGTGAAAAGTAGAACACTGAATGCTAAGCCAGGGCAAGCAGAAGAAGGTTGCGTGCTAAACCGAGAGTTCAGTCTTCATCCTGAGAGTGGTGGGAGGCCATGGAAGAATTTTAAGCAGAGAAGTGACTTGATAGGAACTGCAGCTTTGAGGGTTCTCTGTGACCACAATGGAGAGCAAAGATAGCCAAGTGCAGGATCAGATGCAGGGAGGCCCCGTGGCAGGCTGCTAGGAGCACGTGGGCTTGTGTGGGTGCACTTGTCACCATGCATTAGGCAACCATGCGCACAGGAAAGAGGTTGACTTATAAGAATCTGCTCCTGAAAGCCCAGCCAGGCCTGCAGCCAACTTCCACTTTACTTGGGATGTTTTCACTTTCAGGGCATCTTGTTCTGAGTCAAGATTCCTCCTTCTGAATGTGGGACTTTCCAGAAGGACCATAGCTCCCTCCTGACATCCTGTGGATCTAGGACCTTCTGGGCTTCGATTGTGGAGGGTGTTTGTCTGTCTCTCCAGAGGAGGATGGCCATGTGGTCCCTGTGTCGTTTGCTTCTCTGGGAAGGTAAGTGGGGCCAGCCCCTTCCCAGCTCCCTTGGGCCCCCTCAGCCAGGTCAAGGGAGAACCCAAGAGCTGAGGCAGGATAGAGAAGAATGAAGCAAGCTCTTGGGAACCATTTGAAGCTAGGCAGATACAGAGAGAAGCAGGGGCCTGAGTGAGAGGAGGCAGCAGCACTAGGAGCATCCTTGTCTATGAGACTCAAGCTGTTTTGTGGCCCAGGACAGTTAGAATTGAGCCAACGGTGCTGTTGATTTAGAAAGGTGGATCATGGGGATTTGGCAGTGTTAACACATGAACATTCTACATACAGTCTGTGCAGAGTGGAGGGGAGGGGAAGGCAACACAGGGTTCCCTACAACCTGAGAAGTGTATTTTCAGCAGCCTGTGGGAAAGCTGGGGTCCCTGTGCAAGGGGAGATGGGGATTAAGCAGGGAAGAGAAGTGGGAGAAAGTTAAGTGTGGTCCACTGGACTTGAGTGTGCCTAACAGTGGTGTGATGTTGGAATGGCTAAAATGTGGGGTCTCTTCAACCCTGGGGAATCCCCCGCTCTTCTGGTGCCTGTGTTCCCCTCCTTGATCAGCAAGTACCCGATATGATGTGAGTCAGCTGCTGCGGGGTCAAGGACGGGGGTCATTGGGTATGACAGGAACCAAGACATTGTTTACATCGGAGACTCATAGGGACTTTGGGGTTGCTTTGTTCAGTGTCTTCTCCTGAGTTCCTGACCCTGAAGGCTCCCAAGAACCCTCTTGATTTCTTCATTTTTAATGTGTGTGAGCAATCACACCTCGTCCCTCAAAAAATACCTCAATGTGTTTGATTCATAAAATCTTTCAAATCATTGGACATGTAAGGATATTGTTCTAGGCATCGGACATATGGATATTTTTTGTTCATTTTTATATATGCTAAGCAGATACTGTACCACTGAACTACCTCCCCAGATATTAAATAATTTTTTAAAACAGCTCTTCTTGTCAAAAAAGATCAATACAACTGATCTGGCGCAGCCCTCTGGTTTTACAGGCAAGACCGCTGAAGCTTAGAAAGGGAGATGGTGTGCTTAAGGTCACATAGCTGGCTTGGCAGAGCCAGGACAAGATAGAACACAGGTCTCCACTGACACCCAGTGCAGTTCTCCATCTGTGCTCTCTCCACTTTGCATTAACACTGAAGCCATCACCAATCAGAATGGAGAGGACTGGGACCAGGAAGGGCAATAAGGTGGATGAGGAACTAAAGTTACTGTGGCCTGCTGAGCCATCACCCAGAACACCTTTCCCTAACCAGCTCCTAGCACATCTGCCCTTAATGGACCCTGAGTCCCAGTACCGACTGCTGTGCCAGGTACAAGGTGCAACTTCAGCAAATTCAGTACAATTTACTGAGCTTTCCTATAGCCTGCTTCTAAACAAGGTGATCACTGCAGGAACAAAGAAGAAAAAGAAATTGTCCTTGAAGAGCTCATGGAGTGGTGGCAGACGCTGCCTCAAACAGACAATAATAATGAAAGGACAGGGGTAGTCATAGCACCGATCCCTCATCACCGTGGGAACACAGAGAGCGAGCGTGACCGGCAGGAAGGGGTGGGAACGCTGAGCGGGCAGTGACACCTCCAGAGTGAGCAGAAATGGGCTAGGGAAAGAGCAGGAATGTGTTTCAAACAGAGGTGTCTCCCTCGCATCTCAAACTCAGATATGGTACCCCCAAAACTCAGCCTGTGGCCATCTCACCACCCCGCCTCTTGTCTGTTTCTTATCCTGTTCCAGATCCACTGGCACTCAGTGGATCCCGAGCATCTGGGGGTCAGGGGCAGAGCCCCAGCTTCTCTTCCTCCTTCCCTGCCCAGATCGAATCCATTGCCAAACCTTACTGATTTATCGCACCATCTTAATCTCATGACTCCGGTCTCCTCCACTTCGCATTCTCCCAGCTCTGTCTCAGTTCAAGCCGCCATCACCTCTGCCTGAGGTAATATGACCAGCCTAGGTCTTTCCTTTCCTCCAGTGCCCTCTCCACGCCTCTGCTGGCATGGTCTTCCTAACTATAAATCTAATCATGTTGCCCTCTTGCTGAAAATCTGCCCGAGAAGTAGTTTTACTCTGAGAAAAGCGGAGCTCCGATGCTGCTCTCAGGGCCTGGCATGCTCTGGTCCCCACCAGCTGTGCAGTGTCATTTCCTACACCTCCTGCAGAGAACACTTTCTGTTCCCCATGCCCAGGCCTCTCCCTCCAGCCTTTGTACTCCCTGTTCCCTTTCCTAGACCACTTCCCCGTCTGGTCCCTGCTCCAGGCAGCCCTCCTGCAGAGTCTGATTGATTCCCACTCCTCCTTTGGGTCTCAGCTTAACCATTTCCTCTCTGTGTCCCTCAAGGCTGATTGGGTTCCTCCTTCATCCTACCTGTGTTCTGCCGGAACACCCCGTTTTTCCCAGCAGGGCACTTAATATAATTTATTTTACTTGTTTGTGTGAGTGCCCGGCTTCCTCTGTGAGCTTCACGAATACAGTGACTGAGTTCTCTTCCTGATTTTGTCCTTAGCCCCGGCATGGTACACTCTCACTTCAGGGGAGGAAGTACGGATGGAGGCCGCTAATGTGGCCCCTCAGGCTGTGTGCAGTGTCGGGATGAGGAGCGTGAGCTGGCAGTAACCAGTCTCTGTCCTTCCAGCACTACTTGCCATCGCGGTTACTGGAGCCCAAGTGCTGAGCAAGGTGGGGGACTCTGTGCTGCTGGCAGCAGAGCAGCCCCGTGGTTTCCAAGTCCGCGAGGCCATCTGGCGATCTCTCTGGCCTTCGGAGGAGCTCCTGGCCACATCTTTTCGGGGCTCCCTCGAGATGCTATACCACTCCCGCTTCCTAGGCAGAGCCCAGCTGCACAGCAACCTTAGCCTGGAGCTCGGGCCCCTGCAGGCTGGCGACAGTGGCAACTTCTCCGTGCTCATAGTGGACACCGGTGGCCAGACCTTGACCCAGACCCTGCAGCTCAAGGTGTATGGTGAGTGCACATGACCTTGGCTACTGCCGCTCCTCTAGTAAGGCACCAGGCTGGCAGCCTGGGCCACAGCAGCTAGGAGAGCTGGGTTCCAAAACCTCCGGTCTCAGACCATGTGTCTAACTCCGGGAACAGCTGCTGCTTTAGTCACAGCTAAGAAAATTCCCCCAGATACTGCCTTGTGAGATCCTACCTGGGACAGCTGGGCTTTGCCATTCTGCTGTCCTTGTCTGAACTCCAGCTGGATATTTTCCTGGCCCAGTGGCCTTGGACACAACACTTAGCCCTCCTGACCTTCATTTTTCTCATTTGTTAAGTGAGCATCACAGTATTACCATGCGTAACGCCAACAAGGCGAAATGTGGTACTTATGAAAATGCATCTTTTCAGGGCCTGAAAACAGAGCCTGGCCTGCCTAGCAATTCTAAGATATCATCAGAGATTATAAGACACGGCACTATTTTATCCACTACTGAAAAGGAAGAAAAAAGTGTTACATATTAGAAAAAGTGTTGCATTTACAAATTAAATTCAAATTAGACTACAAAAGTATCGTTTGTTTCAGCCATTTGTTTATTTATTTGCTTGCTGATTGATTGATTGACTGATTGATTTTTAGTATTGGAGATTGACTCCAGCCTTGCTCTTCTGCTGATCTACACTCCCAGCCCTACATGTCTTAAAAGCGGTCTCTTAGTCATTGCTTTCTTAGTCATTCATCATTGCAAAGCAAACCACCTCAAAACTTCAGGGCTAAAAACAACTCTGGGTGGAACTTCTGGTCCCAGGGAGCTCTGATGGGATCGTTCACACAGCTGCTGTCACCTCAGCTGGAACAGCTGAATTACTTGGGGACAGGATGGGCCTTCTTTCCCCAACAACTCCTCCTCCTGCTGCTGCACACATTTTTGCTGGTCAAGAAAGATTAGCTTTTCAGCTTCAATCATTTACCAAGGGTTTGGGACAGAGATGTGAGTGACCACAAACCTCTGCTTCAGTAAAACCTTAGAGTAAGGAGGGAATGCTCTAACTGAAGAATGAAAAGTAGGGATAGCAGCTGAGAGGAGGAAAGCAGAGAGGGAGAAAGGCCAGGAGCAAACTGCAGAAGTATATGGGACCCCAAGAAACAGCTACCTGGATGCCCCTGGTGGCCATTAAGGGTGCAGATGTGCAATTAGAGGGAACCCTGTGGCTCTCGGAAGCCCAGAGCCAGGGTACAGCTCTTAACAAGCAGAATATTGGTTGGGTCTTAGTGGCCTCCAGGCCTCTTGGCCCAATGCCCTTGTGCAGTGAACAACCTGGTGCAACCATGCACGCAGCCCAGAGCCTTGTCCCGTTCTGAGTCTCAGCTGCCACACGTGTGAAATGAGGACATTGAATGTGATAATACATGCAGCACCCACACCACTAAGCTCTAAAATGCCTTGTTCTCAGCATCTGAATTACAGATTTTAAGGAAATTGCTGTTTTATTGCTTCCAAATACATAGCATGATTAGAACTAATTGCAGGAAGCTGCCAAGCAGCCGTCCTTAGGAGCTCTGCTTTGACAATAGATAAGACTGATTTGAATTAGCGGATCAGTTACTAGAAATGTCAATGGGTGTTTCTACTGTGCCTGCTCGTGTTTGGAAGCAGCTTGTCCTCTTAAGTGGTGTAAATATCCCCCCTGTAATCTTTGTTTATACTATTAGTGTGCCCAGCAAATCATTTCTTTTTTTTTCCATATCACAAATCTCACCAGACTGAGCTGACACTAATGAGGTTTTATTCTGCTTGACTTTGGAATGCTGTCAGAGACCGAGCCCTCCCGTTGTGGCCAGAATGCTCTCCCACTGGCCGCGTCAGCACAGAGATTTACTCATCAATCTCTTTAGGAACAGGAAGCCACAGGTTAGGACACCAGGACACCAATTTGTTCAATGGCCCGGGTATCAAGGACCTATTTGCCAGTGCTAGACAGCAAAGGTTATCTGGATAACAAACCAGAGCCCCTACAGGTGGGCTCCCCTTCACTGCCTTTTGCACCCTTCAAATTATTTTCTTAGTTGTTCACAATCCCTTGTAAGCTGGAAAAGTCCAGGAACGTGTTTGTTTTCTTGCCTGTCTTAATAAATACTTGTCACCTCTTGCTGACTGACTGACACATGGTAAGAGAAGTGCTACGAAAAGAGATAGACAGTGTGCGTGTAGCACAGAGGACCATGCCTAGAAATCAGGGAAGGCTTTATAGTCAAAGCATTAAATGATGTGTCCAAGATGGGCCTTGAAGGATACACAGGAGTTTTCTATGAAGGCAGCAAAGAAAAGCAAACATCTGCACATACAAGACATGTAGAAGCATGAAAGCTACAAAACAGCATAGTATGTTTGGGGGCCCTGGCAGTTTATTAGGGTGGGCAGGGAGATGAGCAGAAAGTACAGCTAGAGAGGCTGACATGAATCATTTCATGAAGGGCTTCAAACAGAAGGCTAGCACTCATCAATCCTGAGAGCAGTGGAAAATCAAACAAGGTCTTAGAACACCTGCTCTCCTATTCCTGCACAGATGCCGTACCCAGGCCCACAGTTCAAGTCTTCATCGCTGTAGCAAGGGATGCTCAGCCTCCCAACACCTGCCAGGTCTTCTTGTCCTGCTGGGCCCCCAACGTCAGTGATATAACCTATAGCTGGCGACGGGAGGGAATGATGGACTTTGGTGTTGGAACACACAGCCTCTTCACAGACCGACAGGTACTGAGTCTCTCTCTGGGACTGAGAGACAAGGATGCGGCCTATTCCTGCATTGTCTCCAACCCTGTCAGCTGGGACTTGGCCACAGTCACCCCCTGGGAGAGCTGCCATCGTGAAGCAGGTATGCCGAGGGCCGGTGGTCAGTGGCTGAGGGATTATGAAGCATAAAACCCACCTCTTACCCCACCCCTCATGTCCAGCACCAGGGAAGACCTCCTACAAAGATGTGCTACTGGTGGTGGTGCCAATCTCGTTGTTCCTATTGCTGGTGGGCATCTTCTCCATGTGGTATGGTGGCCCCTGCTCAGGTAGGAGTCCTGCGGGTTCAGGAGATGGGTGGAGGATGTGGGTGTGCTGGGAGGAGGTGGGGTCGAACCTCTTTCTACTTAGGCTCCAGGCAACCTGCCCTTCACCTCTCCTGCTGCAGCTCTTGGTCCTCCGATTCATATTTTGTTCTCCAACCAAAGTGAACTAGTTGGCATTTCTTTTGCAGTTCTCCAAATGAGCCACTGTCTTACATGCATCTTCAGGCCTTTTTACTCTATTCCCCCTGCTTAAAACATACTTCCACAATTTGCCACCCACCTCCCCTTGCCTATTTGGCTGTCCCCTATTCAACCTTCCACACTAGTATGCCCCAGGGAGCTTGCCCTAACCTTCCCGTAAGCCTCATCTTTAGGCAGGCTAATATCCTTTTTTTTTTTTTTTCAGTACTGAGGATTAAACCCAGGGCCTTCACTCTAAGGTATATCTCTGGCCCTTTTTATTTTGAGGCAGGGTCTCACTAAATCACTAAGTTGCCCAGGCTGCGCTCAAATTTGTGATCCTCCTGCCTCAGCCTCTGAGAGTGCTGGGATTCTGGAATTGCACGCATGTGCTACAACACTTGGCTAATGCCCTTTCTTTAACCTCCATTGTGTGCCCCAGTCACAGAACTAATTATACTTATCCCCTTAACTAATTATACCTATCCCCTTACTCTTAATTCTGAGCCCTTTCAAAGGCAAAGCTGCATCACTAGAGCATGCCTAGTTGTTCAAAGAGCACAACAGTTCCTGGAACATAGCTGGTATGCGTAAACATCTGCCAAGTGAATCCCAACCCCTTCTTGCCTGCAGTTCCTAGGAAATGGCTCCCTGGCCAGGGGCTGTAATGGCACTTTCTTGAGAACAGGGGGGAAGGGAATACTCAGAGATCAGAGAAGGCTCTGAGCTCCACATCCAGCTTAGCACCCTCATCTGTCCTTGCTCCAGGATACTCTATCTCCAGCTTTGTGGCTGTTTCCTTGCCAGGCAGGGTGAGTTTGCTGGTTGCAGGGTCAGCAGGAGGACACACTGAGACCTCATCTTGGCGGGTGTGTCCTAGAAGGTGGAGTCTTGACCCAGCCACTAAGTATGCAAGGAGATGGGGAGGGGAGTGGGATGCACTTCTTCCTGTTCACTCTTCCCTGAGGATAGGAAGCTCAGGGAAAGCCGCTGTGCTCACCTAGAAGTCCTGTCTGTTAGAGAGAGTCTGACCCTGGCTCTTCACTCCCAAGATCCCCCAGGATTTGTGGTAAGAAACAGAAGCTAGAAAAAGAGCAGCTTTATTGAGTTATAATTCACATATTGTATTTAAAGGGCGCAGTCCGGTGATTTTCAGTATGTCCAGAGAGTAGTGCATCCATCACCACAACCAATTTTAGAACACTTCCCTTTACTCCAGAAAGAAACCCTGTAACCTCATAGTCACCACTCCCAATTCTCCCGTTCCTCTCACAGCCACAAGCTACTCTCTGTTTCTATACAAAATAGCACAATCCTTTATGACTGGCTTCTTTCACTTAGCCCAATGTTCACAGAGTTCAGAAAAAGGCAGCTTGGACCCAGCCACTTGGGACAGTGAAAATGCTCCACACAAGGAGTGCAAAGGCTGCCTCAGCCCTGCTATATCTCTTTGGGTCATCTAACAAGGTGTATCACAGCCCTAACTTGCTATGCCTTTTGCATCTCGATGTATGCACAGGTGCAGAACAAGGTTAGACCTTAGGAAGAACTTTCTGTTCTTAAAGAATCTCCTCTTCCAAGATTTTGGAGGATGAGGAGAGATGTACCTTTGTCCAAGGTGACCTTGTATCAGAAAACAAGTTTCAGAGGCCTGAGGCCAAGTCAAGTATGTCAAAGCTCCAAACACTGAAAGGATAACTTTCAATGTTGAAAGGATAACCTCATTTGTGATCTTCCTACCAGGGAAAAAGAAGAACGACCATACTGACGAAGTGGCTCCAGAGACAGAGAACCCCCTTGTGTAGGATGAGGGGCAAGATAAGCTGATGCCTGGATCTTGAGGAGCCTCCCTGTCCAGGAACATGATGACCTGGGACATAGCTGGTCCATAAAACCATCAAAGTCCTCATATCCTCCAGGAGACTCCTGTTCCATCTCCAAGGAACATGCTGGACAGCTGTCACATGAGAAGGACAAAAAGCACTGGCATAGGGGCTGGGGATTTAGCTCAGCGGCACAGAGCCTGCCTGGCAAGGACAAGGTCATGAGTTCAATTCCCAGTACCGGGAAAAAGAAAAGAAAAGAAAACAACAAAAAGCACTGGCATAAACTTCCATGCCTCTCCTCTTTGTGCACTTTGCTCTTTGCTGGGCCAGATGAGCCTAACAAAATGTTCTCTCAAGAACACTGAAAGCTCTCCAGGATCACAGGGCTATTGATTGTCCAAGGCATTCACTCCCCACCATTATACACAAAGTATTGCCCAACTGCACCAAAAGATTGCCTCTAGCCTGCATCCCGGACTCCAAATGACATTGGACACAAGCACTAGCAAGAAAACTGCATCACCCCCTGCATCCCCAGCTTCAGATGATCAAGGTATTATCATAACAAATGTCCACAACAGGTGTAGGTGAGAGATAAGAGACAAAGGTTTCTCTTTCTGGCCTGAAAAACACTCAGGTCATATGAGTTCATAGCCCCTCTAAGGCAAATTGCAGCTATAGATAACCAATGATGATCTGCATCCATGGTCAGAATGAGAGACATCCAATGGCTAGAAGTCTTCACCATTTCCATTGACCCTCGCATGTCCTATAGGATCTTGGGAGGTTCTTTATTCTCCAGCACAGTGGCCAGGAAAAAAGACACTGAATTAACCAACAGGAAGTTCTTGTGCAACACTGAGAAAAGCAACTGCGCTCAGAAGTCTTCTCCTTGAGACTTAAAAAGGAAAAGGAGGAAAATTAGGGAGGGGAGGGATACTGAGGCATTTTAGAAGCTCCCACATTGACTTTCAGATGCAAGTGCCGAAGGTCCACCAAAATTCAAGGGGAAAAACAAAGATCTTGCTGCTCAAGGGAGGATTGTCAATATCACTTTGACACACGGCATGGAAAATGTTATTGTAGCCACATCTGGAAAATACAGTCTGCCACTGAGTGACTCCATCTGGAAAAGCTCTGGACTATTTATTGCCACTGGAAAAACTTAATGAGCTAAATTCACATTCAAGGATTAGTAGTTAATAAAGCTCAAAGTTATTCCCCCTAAAATGAAACTGGATTTTATTCTAGGGACTCACTCAAGTCTTGATAATAGAAAGGGAGGAAGCTTTGAAGAAACAAGGGTAGGTTTTGGGTATTTGCCCATGGTGGCTTTAGGCTCTCCCCATGGCATGTCAGTCCTGTACTAGGACCTTCTCCCTCCCCACAGGGGCTCAGGAAGTCACTTCTTTTTGTGTGAATGATCAACACAACTGGTTTCCAGATTCACATCTCCACTCCTCCATTTGATTGGTCCTGGATTTTTCCCTTCCTGGCTTGGTCAGAGGTCCCCTGTTGGTCACCTGCTTAATCTTCAGCCCTTTCCTCCACCCATTTCTCTCCTATCACCTTCTCCCAAGCCTACCTGTTGCATACACAAGCCAGCATGCAGCCTGCAGCAGGTGCTGCCCTCACCTGTCATCTAGAGACATTCCTCATGCCTGGTCAATGACTCATGCAAACCTGGCAGCTCCTTAAAAATAATGTGAGAAAAAAAAGATATGGCAATAAGTCATAATGATTTCTGCAGAGAAATACCACTGCCCACTTTTCTTCCCTTGATCTCCAGGGCTTTACCTCAAATCAGAAAGGTTGTGGGACCCATAGTTCTTCCTGCACAAGGTGACTCTTAGTGACCTTGCATGGATGGGGGTTTTGTGATGAGTTATACTCCTTTTTTTTTTTTTGTCTTTTTGAGACAGAGTCTTGCTATGCAGTTCAGGCTGGCCTTGAACTCACTTTGTAGCCCAGGCTGGTCTCAAACTAGCAACGATCCTCCTGCCTCAGCCTCCTGAGCGCTGGGATTACAGGCATGCGCCACCACGCCCGGCTAAAGTTGTACTCTTTGAACAATCACACTGCTCAAATAAATCATCCCATCCCCAGCTATTCACTTGTCAACTAGTAGAACTATTAACCTTCCACTGAAATATGAAGTGCTTTTGTGAGATCAATTTCTGAGCTAATAAGCACTGAGATTTATGCTTTAAAAGTTGCAGCATGACAAATATAAATCAAGGGCTCAGCATATGCTGGGTACACATTGAGGCACTGAGGAATCAGGCACAAAGCAAAGCCTTGCCCTCATGGAGTATGTGTTCTAGATCATTTCAATCAGTGAATAACCATGTGTTAGATGGTGATAGTTTCTGTTAAGAAAGATAAAGCAGAGTAAAGGACTAAGGAACAATGGGTTGGAAAGAAGGGGTCCGCCTTGGGTGAGGAGTGAAGAGGTGACATTTGAACAGCTGTGCTAGGTGCTGGCAGGACAGGCTGAGCATGTGGGTTTAGTCACACTGCAGAACTAGCTGGAGTCCTGTTCTGGGAGTCACACTTTCAGAGAGAGAAAGACCAGAAAATGGACATTAAGATCACTGTTGGTGTTTAGTCCAAAAGAGAGGGAAATGGGAAAGGCACAGAAAGAGGGCCTGGGGCCGCATCACAAAAGAAACCTGCCGTCTTCAGAGCCCTTTTGCCTTGGGGTTTGGTTAGCACAGAGCTTTCCAACCCCGTCAGTCCAGCTGCCAGACTCCACCCGAAATGACATTCACATTGTTTCCACTCAGCTCATAGTCAGACCAGAGCCCCCTTCCAATTCATTTTAATTTATTTTAGAAACGGCCTTTGTCCTTGTTCTTCTATGTGAAGGACAAACGCAAGCACTACTAAGACAAAGGCGCCACATGACACGATAATGCCAAGAATGAGGAGGGGCATTACCAAGACGTGCTTTAAAAAGAAGAAGGGGGAGAGGTAACAGAGGAGGAGAAGGAGGAGGAGACGGAGGAGAGAAAGAAAACTGCCATTCACATTAACGGCATCTCTGGCAAATCTTCCCTCTGTGTTTATGAAGAAGTCTCACCTGTTCTCTTACTGATCTCCTGGGTTACTTACTGATTGCTTCCTTCCAGACTGACTCCACAGCTTTCTGCATCTGTGCTGCAGGCACCCTGAAGGAAGGGCGTAGCAAGCTAGAAAATAGAACTATCCTCAGATCTTGAGATGTTGCAGTGGCTGCCTTCCCTTGCGCTAGGTGCTGCAGGGACAGGCCGTGTATGTGGGGTTCATCGCACTGTACTACTAGCCAGGGTCCGGTTTTGGGAGTTACACTTTCAGGGAGATACTGGAAAACTTGAGTATCCAGAAGAGAAGAACCAGAATGGTGGAAAAAAAATGGAAGCTTTATCCTATGAGAAATGAGTAAAGAGACTAGTCGTGTTTAGCCTGGAACAAAACACTCAGAGAGGCGTGAGTCCTCAACTATTTGAAGGGCTATCACGTAAGCCCAGACTGTGTAACTGGGGCCAATGGACCATGGCCCTAAGAGTCAGATATTGACTCATTCAAATAATAGGATATTAAATCTTGAAGGAGACTTTGTGGTTACTCAGTTGAAGGTTTTTTTTTACTTAGCAGTTGAAAAGAGATTGTCCTTCCCTTAGAATGACATCATTAGTCAGAGGCAAAGTCAGAATTAGCTTCAGTTTACCTAAATAAACCCAGCCCCTCACTCTGCACCATACTACCAGGGAAAAACTTTCTAACACATGAAGAAATCCCCACATGCAACAAGCTCTTCCAGTGAATGTGAATAAGCAGAAACCATCTCAGAATGAAATCACAGACTAGAGGGTTTTTGCATTAGGAATGACAAATATGCTGCACATGTATCCAGACTTCTGATTTTCAGGGCCACAATACACTAATTTATTATGACATAATTTTCCCACTGAATCTGGATGCAACACTCAAGCTGCCTCTACAAATCAATTAAAGGTGGCTGCCAGGATGAAGCCTGCTTGCCATACCTGCCCTAGACAATCCATAAGCTTCTTCCAACATTAAAAATGAATTATAAATTAAAGAAAGAACAAATGGATAAACTTCGGGGCAAGAGAGACCAGTTACTTAGTGAGACCTTGTCTCAAAGTAAAGAGTAAAATGGAATGGGGATGTAGCTCCATGTGAAGTCCCTGGGTTCGGTCCCCAGTACCTCAAAGGGAAAAAAAAGGGGGCCAATGAAAAGATTGTGTTAGGGGTATCAGAAACAAGGCATGCTTTCTCTGAAGACTTATCCTAAGTTCCTTCTTTTGTTGTTTTTCTCTGAATGTTCTTGGGGAAAGTGTCAGAACCAGAAAGAAGAAGAGACTAATGGGAAGTAGTACTATCACCACTGGGAACACACATACACACACGCACATACACACACACATGCGCGCGCACACACACATGCAAGCACATTAATCAAACCAATGAATATAACACAGATAGCAATTTTAAAATTTATGTTCTTTGGAATATTTAAGAATAACAGGAAAATAATCATATTGGTCAAGATTCTCTGGGCACTAACAACAGAAACCAAGTGTGATCTTAACTAAACCAAGTATGGAATTTATTAGAAAGTTATGGGTAGCTCAGAAACCCACAGCAAACACTGGCTAGACAGTTATCAGAAAGGACAATGTCAGGGACCTTGGGGAAATAGCCCCTGGGGCCTCCAGGGAATAATTCTGTTCTCTTTCTGTTCCCTGGTTCCTCGCTGAAGTTCAGTTCCCAATCAATGGAGCATGATCAGCGTTGCTGAAGCCAAGGACTTTTCCTTTGGGGGATGGAATAGAGTGGTATGATATCTTACGAAAAGCAATGCTTGGCTTAATAAAATTAAGTATCAAAAAAGTTTGAGGCGGAATCTGTGGAACAGGAAATTCATCCATCTCTTCCTTCCAGTAAGCATTTACACAGCACCTGCTGAGTGTCGGCACAATTAGAGACGCAGAGATGACTAAATAGTAGCATTACCGTCCCTGCCCTCGAATGGCTCACCATGTCCTTGTCAGTAAATGATGCCAGTGAGTAAATAGGAATTCAGTCCCCAGTTTGAGCATCTGCTGGCCTGTGAGACCTCTGTCCATAGTGAGGGCCAATCGGATCCCCATAGGAAATGGCAAAGGTCAGAGGCCATGGTGGGGAACAAAGCTTCAGGTGGGGGGAACTGAAGCGCGTATGGCACGGGAGTTTCTAGAGCAGGTCTTCCCAGAGAAAAAGCGATTGGTTGGCCTGTGTTTCTAAGACATGGAAGCTTCACAGGCTGGTGGGTTGTCTTCAGCTTCCCCTCCAGGTGGTACAGGAAAGGGAAAACAGTCGCAAACACATGCTGAGGCTGGAGCCACTCTCCATGGGCAGTGCTTATGTCTGGGATGCCTGGGTTGAGAGGCCAGCACACTCATTCTTGCCTGCCAGTCCACGCTGCTACACCCTTGGCTGGTGCTACTCCGACCTTTCAGGAATCTTCCAGAGTCAGGTAAAGTGACTACCTCCTAGCTGGAGAGAAAATGAGATTTCTGCTCTGCCTTCTCTTCACTGGCCAGTCCACTTGCCATATGCCCAACTTCAGCCAGATTTACTGCAGGAGCTCAGAGCTCTAGCACACTCACTGTGGTCCTGTTTACCAGGCCCAGGGAACCTGCCGCAGTCCACTGGTTGTCTGTCCGTCTTCTCTTCCCGTCTCAGGAATACTCTGGATACTCCCTGCCCTTGTTGATAACAATAAGGAATTCTCAGAAAATTCCTAACAAATTCCAGTACACACCTCCAGGGCCTTGGATTCCTCCTAAGCACCAAGCACATTCCCAAGCAGGGATGTGTCCGCATGAGAAGGTGAGACACCAGTGGCAGAAGAACTGACACAGACCTAAGGACTCCAGGACAAAAGACAAGAAGTACAGGGAAGAGACTGAGACTCCTCCTGCTTTAGCTGGTGTCCTGAGGCCTGGGCGGTCAGGAGAGGGTGGGGTTCTCATCATCATCCACATGCTCACCAACAAGGAAATTCTCCACCAAAGGCCAGAGTTACCACCGAGAGCCTCCGCCAAGTCCAGGCAGTGACAAATACAGGGTTTAGTCTTCAGGAAGCTGTGCCTAAAAGGATACGCACAGATAGCATCACCCTAACACCAAGGCAAGAAGCTGCTGCCCTGACCGCTCCGGCTCTCTCCC